TCACTAAACTATAATAATTATTGATTCTTTCAGTCACCACAAATTAAATAAACAATTGTACTTAGAAAATTTGTTTATCTTTGATCTCCCAAATTATACAAATATTTGTTGTCTAATATTACAAGTCTTTTTAAAAAATACTTATGGCAACCAAAACTTTAACAAAATCAAGTTATCTATCTATACAAGGAACTAATCCATTTTTTACAAGTTCCTTATCACTGATGCAGTGTTGACCGAGTGCATTTTATCATGTACTGATCAAGTCTACTAACTCTATGGAAATGGGTAAGACCATGAGCTTTTACAGAGTGCCATTCAACATGACATTATGTACCTAGATGTCAGAGTTATCAACTATTCATTTTACTTTACATTACTGATTCTGATTTAGTAACAGTTCATGGTAGAGGTGAGTAAATACCAGATATGATATGTATACAGATACATTTTGGAGGTTCTAGATGTTATGCAAATGTAATATACAAAATGTTTGATGGACAAAAGTATTTTTATTCTTCACACGAACTGTTACTAAATCAGAAATGTAGATTAAAATTAATTCCTATTGATTTCATAACCAGGAAGTATCAACTAAGTCACAAGCACTGATGAATTTTGTTAAATCCAAGTATCAGGCATATTTTTTTACCCATAAGTAATTAAATTTTAGAGTTAATCTAAAAGCAGCATTACTAGTAAACGAACTATTAACACTACCAGTTGGAGCTCTCTGCTTTAAAAACACACATTCACATGTAGTTACCTTCATCTCAACCAAGGTGTTGGGGAAATTCCTGTCTCTGAGTATTGAAATATTTTCTCGAATCCACAGGTGAAGATGGCTTGCGAACTCCTTGTAGTCATCAATCTTCCGTAGTTTGTCCTAAGAACGTTGTTGATAAAAATGCTTTAAATAGTATTATTATTTTCTCTTTAAAAATAAAATAAAGTACAGAGCATCAACTGAAATATATTTCCATATCTGGTAAATAAATAACCTTTATCTGTCGAGTAAAAGAAAGCATTTATTTATTTCACAGTACTTTTTATCGAAAAGATAAAGATGATTTATTTACAAAATGCTTTAAGCAAATGCGTGACACAACAAAAAATTGGAAACTACTGAAAGATGATTGAATGTTCAGAATTTTAGAAATATGTACAGTATTCTAAACAGGTTCACATTATAGGTCTTTATATCCATTTTAACATAAAATCATAAACAATTCTATGATTACGAAATGCTCTTCAAGGAATTGTAGCAGTAGTATCATGAAACGAAGACATCCCATAACATCTGGAATGTTTTCTGAAGAATTAAATACTAGACACCTCGTACCTGTTTAAATAGTAATTCATGACATCATCAAACACAACCTGGATAGAACTTCACAATATATGGCATCATGGTGAAATACTTAACAATTACCTGATATCTTATAGCTAATTTAACAACTGATCACTTCTTTTAAACTGTCTAAATGTACATCCGATCTAGACATAATATCATAAAATTTTTCAACACATTAAAATATTCTCCTAGTGTTAACTACAGAAGATCTTGTAAATGTTTTATTGTGAAATTACAACACCTTGAAACTAAATTAAGATATTTGTGAAATAATTTCCTTCAACTATAACCTTCTCCAGCTAACATTACAAACTTACTGTATCAGCAAATGGATGATATGATGGTGGGTTGGGAAAAACATCATACATAGATGAAATGTAAGTGATGAGAGACTTTTCATCAGGATCTTTTGTGTCCACATCTGAACCAAAAGTTAAATTATTAACTTTTAAAGTTACACAGACAAAATTATAAACACTGGGTTTTTATTATTATCACTTCTAAGGTGTTTTACTTTATTTAAACATTTTATAAAATTCTTCATAGCAACTAGCTACGATCATTACATTTTTGTTCAACTTTAATGAAAAAATACAACTCTGAATTTGCAAAACTAAGTTTCATAAATATATCTCAATAACATCAATATAATTACATTTCACTGTCTTGAATATTCAGACATTAAAACTTAGACACAACCTTATTTCTAACAAACTGACCTTTGGTATGAACTTTGTTTCATTCAAACAACCCCCAAATGAAATTGTTTAATATCTTAATATATGTTAAAATCTAAGTATGACATCACTACCCAATATACTTTAATGACAAACAGATTCAAAGTTTCCTCTTAAACTACTAAAGGTTATGGTTTTCAGACAGTTATTTGATGATTAAAGTCACACTAAATATAAAATTATTGATCATGTGATTAATTAATCATTATTTCCAACAACCTTTAAATTAATACCCACATTCCAAATAACCAAATAATGATTGTATTTAACCTAACATGTTCAAAGTAGTTTCTATTATTACAGTAATGTATATTAAACCTTTTTTATCAATATCAACTTAACATTATAAAATCATTAGCTAATTCTACTGCAACCTACAAATCCTAATCCCTCTGTTAAAACTTACCTTCTGGATCCAGCAGTCGCGTGACACTGAAATCTCTTTCTGCAACAGTAAAGGCATGATCCAGTTTCTCGTGTGCTGTTTTTGATCGCAGACTTCGCCAGTCAAATTTATCTGGTCTTAATTAACAATAAAGCATTAAAATAACATTACAAAAAGTTATCTCTTGCTCCTAACTGAATCATAACACAATAAAGTTACCTCCTAGTTCCTAACTGAATCATACCACAATAAAGTTGTCTCCTGGTTACTAACTGATTCATAACACAATAAAGTTGTCTCCTAGTTCCTAACTGATTCATAACACAATAAAGTTGTCTCCTATTTCCTAACAGGATCATAACACAATAAAGTTGTCTCCTGGTTACTAACAGAATCATAACACAATAAAGTTGTCTCCTGGTTACTAACTGATTCATAACACAATAAAGTTGTCTCCTAGTTCCTAACTGATTCATAACACAATAAAGTTGTCTCCTAGTTCCTAACAGAATCATAACACAATAGTTATCTCCTGGTTACTAACTGATTCATAACACAATAAAGTTGTCTCCTGGTTACTAACAGAATCATAACACAATAAAGTTGTCTCCTGGTTACTAACAGAATCATAACACAATAAAGTTGTCTCCTGGTTACTAATTGATTCATAACACAATAAAGTTGTCCCCTGGTTACTAACTAGTTCATAACACAATAAAGTTGTCCCCTGGTTACTAACTAATTCATAACACAATAAAGTTGTCTCCTGGTTAGTAACTGAATCGTAACACAATAAAGTTATCTCCTGGTTACTAACTGATTCATAACACAATAAAGTTGTCTCCTGGTTACTAAGTGATTCATAACACAATAAAGTTGTCCCCTGGTTACTAACTATTCATAACACAATAAAGTTACCTCCTGACTGCTAACTGAATCATTAAGGTTACCTCCTGGTTAACAAGTGATGTATAAAAGTTATCTCCTGGTTACTAACTGATTCATAATATACAAAATCTGCCACTGGGTGACTAATTGTTTCAACACACAATAAGTCTGCCACCAGGTAACTAATTGTTTGAACACACAATAAGTTGTCTCCAAATTACTAAGCTATTCATAAAACAATAAGCATTACTTTGAGAAACAACTGTATTTTAATGTAAACAACAGTTTCAACACAGTAGATTTTAAAATAACCATCAGAAAAATTGAAGGGCATACAAATAATAACACAGAAAACATGAAAAATGTTTCACAAAATTTGTTATGTACAGATGTATGCTCATTGAGAAAGAACTTATTGTAGTAAAATTTATAACTGTGAAAACACAGTAGCAAATATACAACAGTTAGACCATTATATAGATACAGATATAGGCACACACACATATATAAATAGTGTAACTCATATACAACCTTGATATATCATACTGTTATATTTAT